CCCCCCCCCCCCCCCCCCCCCCCCCCCCCCCCCCCCCCCCCCCCCCCCCCCACCCCCCCGCCCCGGGGGGCGCGCCCCCCCGGAAGAAAACAGCCGTAGTGGTTTCTTTTACAGTTATTGCTTTTATATTTGTTTTGATCTACATTTTACATTCGTAGTATGTACGGATGGTATTCTATGGTTGAAGGAATACAACTGTGGAATTATACTAAACTTCGGGAAATAAGTACCTTTGGGGGTTGTTATTTTTCATCGTCAACAAGTGGTCTTGCAATACAATGGATCGATCTAAACAGCTATTCGCTCTTGATCTATCGTTCTCGAGCACAATATAATTTTTCGGCATACTTCGACTGCAGCAATGACAGCACGAATTATGTGATTGTTGGAATAATATTTTATCAAGATAATAGAATTTATTATGACACTCCGATAGAAATAGGTTATTGAGAAAACATAGAAGTTTATTGCTTGGTGGTATACTACTTTTTTGTTTCAGGTACAAATCAAAAATTCCGTCAGATGAAATATTTCTTCGAATCTGGTCTAATCCCTTATGATGTACGTAAAATTAAAATAACATTGAAGTTTGAAAATTATATTAGTTCAAGCTCAAATACTTATTGTCGTTGTGACAACATTACATTCTCAATTATGCAAAAATGAAAGTTATTGATTTTATTATAACCGTTACTCTTTTTCCTTACAAATTCATCTACAAAATAACCAAGTTCGTATTTCTTTTACACAGCTAGGGATGTACCAGACCCGAACGTTCGTATTCACAGCAAGCTTGAGTTTAGATTGCGTTCGGATTTGAGCTCGGAAAGTTCGATCTCGGTTCTCCTAGTAAACTAAAGCGCACTATTGTCGAACATTTCACATTCAACTCTTACATATACATATATTTCTCTCTTTTATTCAACAACAAGAAAGAAAGTTTTATCATACTACTGTAAACAATGAAGTTATCCAATCCAATAATCTGATTAGTATAGTCTTTTTTAAATTAACAGCAGCCATAGATTAAATTGGAATTTATTTTATTAAAAAAGGTCTGACGTTTAGACTATTTATAGAGTCATTTTCAAAGAATATTATAAATTTAGAACATTACTGTACTTTACACATGAAACAATGTGAAAAGGAAGAAGAATTGTTTTTATATACTGTGTGTTGCTGGTAAACAGTCAGTCAGTAATTATGTAATAAAATGGGACTCATATGTCCCCGTTTCCTATAAACGCTCAGTCATTACTGGTATGATTCATGGAGCCATTAATATTTGTTCAACTTATTCACTATTACATGAGGAATTGAATATTATTTGCAAAAATAGCTAGAAGTAATGGTTAACCCAGTTCTTTTGTTGAAATGCTCATTGGGATAAAAATTAGTAAATGGTATAGTAAATCTGATACGTGTATTGATACTGGTATCGATAAGTAGAGGAAAACCAGTAGATTTGATAACACCTAGTAACCTTGACTATCACCAGTATGGATATACGGACGGAATACTATCCAATACCCAATCGAAAATCGATTTTTGTAAAAATCTTGCAAAAGGTTATTTTTTATTAGACTTTGATGTTGATGCAATTATTCAGAGATAGACGTTGCAAAAATAAACATTTTATGGATTTTTTTAATGTCTCTATCAAAACCGATTATTACTCCTTTAAAAATAAGCCAAATTTAGAAATCTGGTTTAAAGTCGAAATCGAACAAAAGTGTTTTTGAACCTTTTTTGCCGAAATATTTTCTAGAGAGTTCCAAAATTCGGAATATAGTGCATTCTTTTGGAACTTATGACAGAATCAATTTTCAACATAGCTTTCCGTAGGAGTTTGTACTTCTCCTATTTGTTCGAAATTTTGCTGACATATCTAGTGGAAAGTGGACGGCTAAATATTCTCAAGAATCAGAAATGTGTTCAATTCTTTGTTCGAGTGAGTAGTTTTAGTTTTCTCATTCAACATCACTATATTGTCATTTATTCGAAAATTACCGTATTCGTTCGATGATTTATGCATCATCATCATAAATTCCGTTTCTGTCTCTGTATTAGATGATGTCATTGTCAAAACGCGATCACCTGATTTCAGTTCCGCTACGCTTTTATACCCACGTTCCTCCAAATTGGCGTGCAGTTTTGTTCACTGTTGTGTTTGACGATATAGGAAGAGTGGTTGGCAAGGCCACCGTATACACAGCTTGTACTTGACACCACAGAATTATCAACATAACCGATCCGATTTGCATTGTCGTGTTTCAAGGTGATTGTATACGAAGGAAATCGCTTTTATCAACGTGATGATAAGTTGTTTATAGGAAATTTTCACAACGGGTGAAAACCCGAAAATGGAATGAGTGCCAAGAAAAACATAGACCTCTCTATTGTTATAGTCATAAGTCTAGATGCAAAAGGCCTAATGATATCAAAATTTTACCATAGACAGCGGAGCCAACGGACACTCTCCTGGTAGGTTCACGATTTCAAGAAACTCCTTCGTTACTGAGTTATGAGCAAAACAAAATCGTACGAAATCATTTTTGCCGCCACTGTATTTGTTCTTCAAACTTTTCAAATGTATTTTTTTCGGATTTAACATTAAAAACTGAGTATGAGAATGATGTTTAATCGAGGCTCAAGTAAAAGGTCTATCCAGTACAGAAGTCTTGGACTCTCCGTACTGTAAAAGGTTCCTAAACAATCTTGCAAAATTATCTAGTCTTTTTTTGTGAAGAGATGAAGCCGACTTATTTATTTCATTAAACGAGCTTTACAAGTACGTACCACTTTTTTTTAAAATTTGTTTCATCCCCGAGAAAGTACATTTTGTCTGAATCAGGGGCATTTTTCATCAAAATCAATAACATATTCAGAATTTTATTTAAATGAAAAAAACCTCTGGTTCTTTAGAAAAAGATTTCCGAAAAACCGGCTTTTCTCGAAATCCTAACAGACCTTAAAGCTCATTCCTAAAGTTTTCAGCCGCTCTATTGGATAGCACGTTCAATTCTCTACAAAATGAGATATCAGCCAAGTTTCTATAATGTTCTTTAAAACAATATCACAGAAAATTCGACGGGGATCGAAAATTCAGTAGTAGAGCAAGTTTTTGAAGACTGAATGAGAATAATGTTATAAACCCTAATACTCGGTTGTCAAGTATCGTAGAACACTTTTGAACACACTCTGAACGCTTTTGTATCCAGAGTTTTGTTTCGATTTGTGCCACTGCAGTAGCAATGGTTGGATGTTTTTCGTCTAAAATTTCTTTTTTTCCTCTTTAAAGGTTCCTCATACTCCTTTAATGATAATTGATAATTATCTTGTCTTGAATAAAATATTAGCCATATTTTGAGAGACAACTTCTATTCAGAAAACTACATCGTATATACAAAAAAGTCACAAGGCAAATAAAAAGTTAAACTTTCAAGAGTATTCCTTTGTCAGCAATGGCTCTTGGTCGGCAACAACCGTCTTTGACCAAGGATACAAAATAATATTCAATTCTGCCAACGAATATCAAAGCTGTCGCACTTAAAATAATGGCGCCGATTACTTTCAAAAATGTATAAAACCACGTGTCGTTTGCTGTCGTAGACGAATTCATGCATTGATTGGCTGATGTTGAAGTACTCGTTGACGTGGTTGAAGTAGATGTTTGAGTAGGGTGGCTGTCATTACCTTCGGTGAAAAGGATGAGAGTGTTATTTTAAGCAGCCAGAAATCTGACCGACGGACTTACCTTCTCTGGTCCAGTGAAACTGGATATCAATTAGCTCAAATCCTGATACTTGTCCACTGATGTAACTGAGCACATCCCCTTCTTTTTCCTCTGTCCATGCCGTTGATCGTCCGTACGAGCCATATTGTCCACTTGTTCTACCCTGGTTTGTCAAAAATTCCAGCGAGTCAATGTACCAACCTTTCCAACCCTCCACGCGAATAATTCTTTCATCAGTGTCTAATGTGAATACGGTATGTGCTTGACCACCAAAACCACCGTGTCTTGGTGCTTGAGTTTCGATGCTACCGTTATCGGGAGCAATGTACGACAGTTGAATTGAGTTGATGAATTTATCAGAATATATCAGAATTTGAGACGGATAGATAGTGTGTGATGGATAAATGACGGAATCGTTGAAAGGCTGAGCATGCTGACGGTGATCGCCCCAGTATGGACGAGTAGCAGTAGGAAACAAAGAACCTAAAGGTGGAAGCAATTGCATAGAGAATATATGTAATTCCATTCCTTATTAACACCAGTATTTATCGTGGTTACTTTCTATTTTAGCTTAACAAAACAAACTTCTTTCATCCGGTATTCTTTGTGGTCATTCATGTTCTAATAGTTCGCTGTGAGTCAAATCGGTTCGTGCCTTGAATAGCTAAGTTCAATGGCAAATACTGGCATTCTTCGAATGCAGTAGGAATTCAAGCAGCAAATCACATTCAGCTGTCAAACCTCACAGCATTATAATTTCTAACAGAAACGACTTTGTATGGAGCTTTAGTAGAATTGAAATGAGTACTAACCATCAGTATTGTATTTGTCACTTGACAAGATGTCAGTTTCAATAATATTGCTTGAAAGCGTATCAATTTTGAACGGCTGTTTTCAAAACACATATAAATCAGGATTAGATATACAGAAAAAGAAGTTCTTTTACATTTTTCTCTTCACCACATAACATCCCTTCCGTATCCGGACTAAAATAAGGAGTTTTTGTTGGACATTCAACGATTCGATGTTCGCCATAGTAGCAATGATGATAGATGGACAGATTTCTCGGATCGGCAAATTTGTAATCGAGAGCGAGATGATAACAAATGTTATCGTCAACCTCCATCGCAGCGACATTTGAACCTAGAGCGATTTCTGGATTATCAATATTACTCCTTCTTTGCACATCTCGTTAATATCTACTTCTAGCTTCCGTAGGAAGATTGTCAACCATTAAATTGTTTCTCATTACGACAGAATATTTCTACAGTACCTTTGGGTGCTGAGCACGAATCCGACATCCATTTCTACTTTTAGAAACTTCCCTACCATGATGAGTCTTGAAACTTTTAGGAGTCAGCATCCATGAAAGCTTAGGTTCTGTCCTATCTTAAACAAAAGTTTGAGCTCGATTCGTATATTAGACTAACAGGAGCTGTTACTCTGTTCTCACATATAGTGACGGTTTTTTGTCACTTCTTTTGATATCCTTTTTGACTATAAATAATAATTCATATACAATACATTCAGCATATATACTTCCGAAGACTGTGATCATGATTCTGAAATTATTTTTTCATTTGATGAAATAGTTGGCGAATAATTAAGCCTTTTAGCATACTTATCGTTTTGCACATTAAAATTGACCGTCTAGAAAAAGTATACACTAAACGGCACTTTTCGATGCCGAGTGAATGTTTAGAAGATTTAAACACCTTTACACACCAATGTTTTTTTAGATACTAACGTGTTTCACAATCAGTTTTAGGCCGGTAATCAGGCTTCTAGAAAACTTTTAATCCTGCCATGTGACTGACCCAAATTTGCTTTCGTCAACTGATCTCTTCATACTGCTGTTTCAGCGACTTGATAAACTGAGTAAACCAGATACTAACCGTCAGTTTTGGATCCGCGATGGGCTAATAAGGGGTGAATGGCTTCTGATTTGAAATGAGTAATCAAATTACTTGGAGCTACACTACCTCTGGTCGACAGTTTCTAAAATGTGAATAAAAGGTATAATCAGTTTCTTGAAAATGAATGTTCTTACTTCTAGTTCTGAGCTTCGTTTACCACACAACCAGACACCGAAACTTGCTGGTTTTGAACTGTAGTATGCTGTCTGTGTTGGACATTGGACGAGTCGATGTATACCATGATCACATTGATGATAAATCGATGTGATTACAGATGTAGCATACTCATAATCGTTGTCATGTGACGCGGCACAGGCATCATGAGCGACTATCAACGTTGAAGCGGCAGTTGTATCTTAAAACAATGATTTGTATAAGAGATAAAAAAATTTCTCGCTCCTAGTTACCCGCATCTACGGCTCCAATGTCATCAAACACGTTCGATGTACAACTGACCTAAATTTACAACTGTAATATATGTCTCTTCTGGCTTCTGTTAGCTGTCTCACCCCGGCAGTGCTCCTACTGCACCGAGCACTAAGTGGATCAAATATGAGATTATCAGGACATTTATCAATCGTATACACGCCATCATGCACACTTAACCTACATAGAACATACATTTTTCTTTGATATGTGACAGTCGGTTTCTGTTTACTACTCACCATGAACGCGTCAAGACATACTGTGAGCAGCGAATCAAATGACAGACCTTGGGGACAGTTTAAAATTGTATCCTTACCATCAGCACACATATGAAACAATGAGCAATTGTGTGCATCCGGGAACCGACCATCTTGGGTACAGTTAAACGGAGCAATTGTACATTCTAAAGTTGTTAAAAAATATTAACGGTGTTTTTCAACTAATTATGGACCAAGCTTACCTGCTGATTTTAACGTGACCAGGAAAAGCAGGCTCAAAGTTGTTGTGATAAAGTAACCGTGCATTGTATAACTATTTTGTTAGAAGTGAGCAATAGTTGAATGAGAGAAGGGGATTATATAGTACATCTCTCTTTGTGATAGAAATGTCCGTTCGGTTTTTTCCCTGCCACTTGTGTTTAGTCATTTCTATTGGACAGTGTTCTGTCTGACCATGAACTATCAGTGAATTTAAAGTGAACAGAAGATAATGGAATGTCCAATAGAAGAATTATATATTCAAATCTGTTGGAGATTGTTGTTGAATAGAAATGACTGCTGAGATGAATATAGAACTAGAACAGATAGCACCTGGTGTACAGAAATTAAATCTGTGACTATACCCTGTTTATACATTGTGAAAGAAATTGTACTGTCATTTCGTCCTATATGACGAAAAAGGAGCAGAGGTGTTAACCAATAAAAGTTTCGTCAGGGGCGGCACAAAAATATGAAGAGATTTTTTCGTGTTTCGTTTTTTCTACGGCTAACACGTCTAATAAGTATTTATCTTGCTCACATATCTTCTTCAATGACGTTACCTACAATGCCGTTTGGCGATTCGTCTACTAATAAACGCGTTTAAATCAAATGAATAGCTTTTAACGAATGCGAATTGAGCATTTTTCAACAGCACCAAAAACGTTCTTAGAGTCAGGATACAAAAATAGTTCAAGCAATATCTATAGAATTTATATTAATTGTTTATTCAATATATCAGTCCCACGGAGCAGAAGCCCATATGTTCGCAGCAGACATGACAAAACATTTTGGCGAGTTCCACCGGTAAAATACCATCTTTACAGCGAAGTCTGGCGCATTAGTCGAGACCTATCTCATTCGAAAGAGCATCAAATTCTGAGCCAGGAAATGTATTTTTAATTTTCTAA